AAGTTTGTTGTAGCAGTTTTGTACACCTTTGCCCCTGCACTATCAACCACTATGCGGCTCCTCCTTCCTCACCTTTTTCCCCCTTCCCCTCAAAAAAAAAACAATCACCCACAAGTTAACCCCTTCCTGCCCAGTGTCATTCGTACAGTGTCAATGCATTTTATTAGCACTGATCACTGTTTTGGTGTCACTGTGGATGTCAGTGACACCAAGTCAATCCCCCCCCCAGTGTCAGAACGCCTGCCGCAGTCCCGCTATAAGTCGCTGACTAGTGAAAAAATAAAATTCCAGTATATATACCACCATTTGTAAATGCTATAACTTTCATGTAAACCAATTAATTTACACTTATTGGGATTTTTTTCTTACCAAAGACATGCAGCAGAATAAATTTTGGCCTAAATTTATGACGAAATTAGATTTTTTAATTTTTTTACTGTACATGTTTACTAGCAAAACGTCAAAAATATTGTTTTTTTTTCTCAAAATTGTCAGTCTTTTTTCTTTTACAGCGCAAAAAAATTAAAAACGCACAGGCGATCAAATACCACCAAAAGAAAGCTCTATTCGTGGGAAAAAAGGATGTAAATTTCATTTGGGTGCAGTGTTGCATGACCGTGCAATTGTCAGTTAGTAACACAGCACTGTATTGCAAAAAATGGCCTGGTCAGGAAGGGGGGTAAATCCTCTGGAGGGCAAGTGGTTAGTTAAGCTTTAGCAATAAAATCTGGAAGCTGATTGGTTTCTATGCAGAAGTGCACGAGATTCTGAGTGAAGCAGCTTTAGTAAATAAATCCCACCATGTCACGTCTAACTTCTCAAGAAAAAAATCACTAGTGCTATCTACTGTACACCTGATTGATTCATAGGATTCTGCAACTGTCTGAAGATTGTTTGCACCAATAAATATTACCCTTCAACCTCACCAAATAAATTAAGGATAGAAGGAACTAATAAAAAGTGTCTGAGAAAAACTTGGCGGAGGGGGATTTACTAAAACTGGTGCAATCAGAATCTGGTTCAGCTGTGCATGGTAGCCAATCAGCTTCTAACTTCAGCTTATTCAATTAAACCTTGACAATAAAACCTGGAAGTTGATTGGTTACTATGTAGAGATGCACAAGATTCTGTGTGCACCCGTTTCAGTAAATATTCAATAAATTCTATATCAGTTGCTCAAAATCAACTTTTCAGACTTCATGCACACTGGGCTTCAAAAAAAACACAGGTTCCCTCAGCAGGAAAAAAAACGCAGACATAGAGCATTTTTTAACAGCTTAGGCGAGTTTAGGAGAGTTTAGTGTTTTTTCTGCCAGAAAGCTCCACTCAAAAACGCAAAACAAAGCGTTTTTTTTTCCCTGCCTCTAAATGTTGAGCTTAAAATATGCTTCTAATCATTCTAATGTGCATGGACACAGGATACACTGAGCTGCTTCTACAGGCAAAACACAAACCTCCTGCAGAAGCAGAGATTTTTAAACAAGTGTGCATGGAGCCTAAATATTCATTTTCTAAGCAGTATAGAAAAAAAATAAAAGAAAGAAGTTTATTGGTTGCCACGAGCAATGGTATGAATTGAGAACTGGATGTGTTTTATTCATTTCCCTTGCCTTTCTTCTAAAGCAGGGGAGAAGTATGATCTTAGCTTTTAACCACTTTAAGGTGTCCTTTTATGACACAGAGAATAGCTGCGATTCAACGGATCTCAGCTATTCTCTGGTCATTCACAGTTTATGACACTCAGGAGATCATGTCAGCCCTTCTCTGGAGATCTGTGTTCTCCCTTCAGATTCTCCAGCCCAGAGCTGGAGAATCAGAGGGACCGAAAACTAAGCAGAGATAATTTACCTCTGCTTAGTAAACTGATCTTTTACTATAATCTCGTGAGATTATAGTAAAATGAGCCGTTTTTCAGAGTTTGTAGACCATTCTCCAGCGTTTGGAGACCGTTCTCCCTTCGTTCGGAGAACTGCTTCATAAACTGCATTCACAGGAGAACTGTGTTCTCCGAGAATGCCGGAGAACTGAGCAGCGATCTATTACCGCTGGTTCACAAACGGACACCTAAGTCCAGACACTTTTACCCCCTCCCTGTCCAGGCCAATTTTCAGCTTTCAGTGCTATCACACTTTGAATGACAATTGCGCGGTCATGCAACACTGTACCCATATGAATTTTTTTGAGACAGATAAAACTTTATTTTGGTGGTATTTATTCACCACTGGGATTTTTTTTTCTATATATAAATAAAAAAAGTCCAAACATTTTGAAAAAAAAAAAAAAAAGTGTTTTTCTTATAACATTTTGCAAATAAATAATATTTCTTCATAAATCTTGGCCAAAATGTATTCAGCTATCTTTTTAGAAAAAAGATAACCCAAATTAGTTTATAACCAAAAATTATAATTTTTCAAAAAAATTCTACATTTTTATTTTATTTTTTTATATTATTATTTATGTTTTTTTTTTAACGTACTGTCACCTTAGCAGTACAGTGTCACCATAGTGACACTGCACTACTTGTGGGGGTGATGAAGATTTTTTTTTTCTTACACTGATTACTTTTACACCCTTAAAGGCTGTAAAAGCAATAATTTCTCCTTCACTCTGGCTGCATTCTTGCAGCCATTGAGAAATACTGTGAAGCTGTGATTTGTCACAGCTAGTCACATGGTACAAGGCTGTTGTGAATAGTCTTGTACCATGTGATCTCTGTGATCAGTCACAAATTTAACAAGTAGTAAGCAATGATGTCAGTGGCTTACTAATATTCATGTGATCACTGATTGGCCAATCAGTGATCACATGATCGGGACCTCACACAGAGGTCCCGTACAGAGATCGTTGTTCCACTGTGTCCGGATCGCAGTGCCGCGTGCTCCCAGGTAGCATGCACAGGCAGGGAAGTTGGAGGACATTTATAAATGGCCACCCACTCCTGCACTGCTCCCATCTGGCCATTTATGTACATGGGCCAGACGGGAAGTGGTTAAACAAAGACTAGCTAAACTGAATTTATTCACCATATAAACAAATGAGAAGATCAGAGTAGTTAGGATCACCTTTTGTGAAAACATAATTTTTTTTTTTAAACTTAATAAAAAGTTATTTCATATAAGGTTATCACAAAAAAAAAAGGGGCAGTCTGTGTACCTGGAGAGAACAAGGTATAACCTCCCTGTACAGAAAGGTTTCTTTACAGTAAGAGCTGTAAAAATGTGGACTAGTCTTCTAGAGGAGCTATTCCTAGCCAACTCAGTACATTGTTTTAAAAAGGACTGAATGGTTTCTAACTGCAGAAGATACTATTGGCTATTAAATCTATAGAAAATAACACTGTAGAAGCTGATCCAAGCAGTATACCATTGCCTTTGGGAACCTGGAAGGAGTTTTTCCCATGTTAGAGCAAATATCATGTGTTGCAAGGTTTTGCCAGTCTTTAAATTAAGGTACTGAAGATGCAAGGTTTTTATTTATCTTTGATTGGACTTGATGGATACGTGTCTGTTTTCAAATTGGTGCACACTTTATCAAGGAATTTGCCTTCCTATGCATCAACTGCAGGTTTAAGGTTCTAACAATGTATGTTGTTTTATTTGTTTTTTAAGCAATGGATATGTCTTGATGTAACTATATTACTAAAGTACTGAACCTGTGATATTCCCTCTTTTCAGAATGTGAACAAAGACAGATGGCAAAACAGTGCTCTACCTGTATATTTACACAGTGATTGAATAAATATGAATATTTGCAGTATGCCTTATATCTCACCTTTGAACACAATAAATAGGTTGTGCTGTTTAATGAACAGAAAGGTAGGCTGTCTGCAGTATTCATGCACCAAGCTCGATTTATTAGGTTACAACTGTCATTTTAGTGCCAAATTATAAAATAAAAACTTAAATGAGAACTATAGCCCCCCCCCCCCCCATTAAAAAGTATGTGCTGCAGCACTTAATAATAGGTGCCTCTGACCCTCTGTTGTGGAGGCGTGGCTACCATCATTGTCACTGCAGATTCCCAAGCCTGTAGCCTATCAATCAGCAACTGGCCACAGCAAGACCTGAATGTTAATTTCTGCATTGACAGCACTGACTGTGACTGTGCTGCCAAAACCACTCCACTGTAAGCTGCAGTGCCTGGTAAAACACAAATGATCTTAGAAAACCAGCAGACCCACAGGTACAATTGCAGTTCCTCAGCCTCCGCCCCTTAGGAGTGGACACCCTATTATCCACTGTTCTCACCATCCTCTCACTTTGTATTACATCTAATTTGTCATTTAAAGGGGCTCATATGAGGTTTAGCTGATGCCTGTACCCAATTGCTCTGTTCACTTTATTCTATGTCAATCCTTGCTTGGAACATGTTCTCTATTTTTTTTTGTTTGTCTTCTTAACCACTAGCCTACCGGGCACTTATACCCCCTTCCTGCCCAGGCCAATTTCCAGCTTTCAGCGCTGTCACACTTTGAATGACAATTGCGCGGTTATGCAACACTGTACCCATATGACATTTGTATCATTTTTTTTTAGACAGATAGAGCTTTATTTTGGTGGTATTTAATCACCTCTGGGTTTTTTATTTTTTCTTAAAAAAAACAAAAAACAGTGAAAATTTTGAAAAAAAAAAAGTTTCTTAGTTTTTGTTATAAAATTTTGTAAATAAGTGATTTTTCTCCTTCACTGATGTGCGCTAATGAGGCTGTTGTGATGGGCACTGAAAGGCTGCACTGATGGACACTGGTAGGTGGCACCGATGGGCACTGATGAGGAGGCACTGGTAGGTGGCATTGATGGGCATTGACAGGCATCATTGATGGGCACTGAAAGGCAGCACACATATATGGCACTGATAGGCGGCACTGACTGGCACTGATAGACGGTACTGACTGGCACTGTTAGGTGGCACTGACTGGCACTGTTAGGCGGCACTGACGGGCACTGTTAGGCAGCACTGATGGGCACTGTTAGGCAGCACTGACGGGCACTGATAGGCGGCACTGACTGCCACTGATAGGCAGCACTGACTGGCACTGATAGGTGGCACTGACTGGCATTGATAGGTGGCACTGACTGGCACTTATGGGTGACACTGAAAGGCAGCTCAGATTGGCACTGATACGTGGCATTGATGTGCACTGGTAGGCACTGATATGTGGCATTGATGTGGCACTGATGGGCACTGGCAGGTGGCATGGATGAGCACTGACAGCTGGCACTGATGGACACTGACAGGTGGCACTGCTGGGGCTACACAAATCATCAGGGCACACTGATCATCAGTGACCTGATGATCAGTGTACATGTTCCCTCTGAGGGATGCCGATTACTGGCTCTCCTCTCCTCTGTCAGCGTGACAGCTCGTGAGGAGAGAAATGCCGATAACCGGCATTTCCCTATTTACATGAGATCAGCTATGATTGGACACAGCTGATCACATGACTGAACCAACATCTCCGGCTATTTACATTGATCGGTGATCCTACCGATCACCGTGCTGCGCGCTCCCAGAGCCGCGCATGCGCAGTTAGAATGGGACCATGTCATATGACGTCCAACCAGAACGAGAGAACCACCTTGTGCCCGTCATTGTACTATATGGCGGGCGGGAGGTGGTTAACTCAAGCAATGTTAACTGATGACATTATATGTGTTCCAGATTTATACCCCGTCAGAAATACGGGCATTTACTGAGTTGTATACATGATCCGAATATAACTTGTATATGTTACCATTCTGCTTTATTTCTCAATAAAATTGTTTTTGGGAAAAAAAAAAAACATAGTAACTGGATTTGCAAATTGGTTAGACTGTCATATTGGTGCCATCAGTTGTATGTTAAAGTAGGAGAGTCAAATTCCACCTACAACATTTGACTTAGCTTTTAAACATAGAGCAAGGAGAGGTTAGATTCTCCTCCTGTTTGACTTTTTTATGGTCCATGCTCCCACCCGGCACATTCCCTATAGCTAAATTCCCTGTTCCCTTCTCTGGAGTGCATTCTTCATGTCTAAATTGTAAATACCAAAACTGTCCAGATCTGTCTGCTTCTTTTAGAAACTCAGACCTGACTTATGAAAGTCTAACCTATGCATACCACTTACTTGCCCCACTGCATTTCTATGGTGGATAGGATAGTCCATTTTGCTGCAGTTCATATTTACATGCAGTCAGGGTTGAAAATCAAACTAAAAAAAGCATTACACTAAATATAAGTTTGCATTGTACTTTTCATATAGCAGATTTTTTCTACTGACAAATTAACTCTCTTTTCTTAGTAAAAATCTTAACTTACAAGAGCAGTTCCTTTTAAAATTCTCCCAAGTGCAGATAAGTCTGTTGTTGGAGAACACGTGAAGAGAAAAACAAAATTCCCCAATAAATATGACAGGCCCTAGTGATAAAAGAAAAAGGAAAAAAGAAACTATTATTTATATACAGTGACAATTGTATACACATTGTAAACATTGTAATTGCTCTAATTCATCCCAAAGGTATTCTATCAGGTTGAGGTCAGGTCAGTCAAGTTCCTCCACCCCAAACTCGCCCATCCATGTCTTTATGGACCTTGCTTTGTGCACTGGTGAATAATCATGTTGGAGCAGGAAGGGGCCATCCTCAAACTGTTCCCACAAAGTTGGGAACGTGAAATTGTCCAAAATGCCTTAAGAGTTCCCTTCACTGAAACTAAGGGGCCAAGCACAACCTCTGAAAACAATCCCACACCATAATCCCCCCTTCACCAAACTTTACACTTGGCACAGTGCAGTCAGGCAAGTACTGTTCTCCTGGCAACTGCCAAACCCAGACACGTCCATTGGATTGCCAGACAGAGCAACGAGATTCGTCACTCCAGAGAACACGTCTCCACTGCTCTAGAGTCCAGTGGTGGCGAGCTTTACATCACTGCATCCGACGCTTTGCATTGCACTTGGTGATGTAAGGCTTGGATGCAGCTGCTCGGCCATGGAAACCCATTCCATGAAGCTCTCTACACACTGTTGTTGTGCTAATCGGAAGGCCACATGGAGTTTGGAGGTCTTTAGCTATTGACTCTGCAGACAGTTGGCAACTTCTGTGCACTGTGCGCTTCAGCATGCACTGACCCCGCTCTATCATTTTTATGTGGCCTACCACTTCATGACTGAGTTGCTGTTGTTCCCAGTTGCTTCCACTTTGTTACAATACCACTAACAGTTGACCGTGCAGTATTTGGTAGTAAGGAAATTTCATGGATGGACTTATTGCACGGGTGGCAACCTACCACGGTACCACGCTTGAATTCACTGAGCTCCTGAGAGTGACCCATTCTTTCACAAATGTTTGTAGAAGCAGTCTGCATGCCTAGGTGCTTGATTTTATACACCTGTGGCCATGGAGGTGATTGGAACACCTGAATCCAAATGATATATATATATATATATATATATATATATATATATACTTTACATTCACATCAGTTCCTAACCCTCAAGGAGTATACAATCTAAGGTCCCTAACACACACACACACACACACACATATATATGTTAATTGAAATGTTTTTTGCCATCCGAAGTTCCAAATTTGAGAAGAATTGAGCTACTGAGAGGTGCATTATGAGCCCCTCACTGTGGTCCATGGGACATTGCTTTCACCCATGAATTTATCGTCAAAGAATAAGAAAACAGAACTAATGATTTAAAGCTGTACTTTATAAAATACACAACTAAATACTGCTCTGTAATCATTAATACATACTGTAATTAGATGTACAGTATATTGAAAATGTAGGCAGTGCAAGTACCTGGTTTTGACTTGGTATCAGCCTTCATTGCAGGGATCAGACTGAGGGAGGCAGAATCAGTACAAGGAGCCAATCAGGGCTGCTGCATTGCAACGGGCATGCTAAGTGTAAGTACACTGTTTTGCCTTGGTATCTGCCTTCATGGCAGGGATTGGATTGAGGGAGGCAGAAGCAGCAGAAGGAGCCAATCACTTACAAGCAAGGTGTCATCGACATCCGCTCCGTGAGGATGTCGATGACGAAAAGCTTAGGGCGGTACCTTTGGATGTGACGTTAAGAACGTTCCTGGTCTGCTTGCACGTTGCATGTGCATGTTTAGCTGGGTCTGAGTCGCTTGTATTCATTACACACGATGTTTATTCTGGTGTCAGTCTGGACACCTTGCTTGTAGGTGCATTTCTTCATTAAAGTTTGATGTTTTTTAAACATACTGCACCATGATTGTTCATTTTTTTCTTTCGAGTGACGGTCTGATCATCTCTCAGTTTGGATACTAAATCATCTTTGGAGTGGATTTTCAGCTTTGCAGCACATCATCCGTTGGAGTTCATCCCTCATTTCTTCAGTGTTGCTGTCACCATATTATTCATTGCTCCCAGAGTAACAAGTGCTATATGCTGGCTTGTTTAACAAGCAGCATATTACTCTGGTGAGTTCTATTTAACCATTTTTGGTGGTGGATTCACTTGGTGATTAATTATTTTGGACATTATTGATTATTTGAACTTTTGGACTTTTTCGTCTTTGCTGGAATATACTTTGATTTAAAACATTGTATTATTTTGTCACATTTTTTGTTACACTTTTGTATGTATTTAAGCGCAACCTATTTTTTTGAAGTTTTGCATATCCTATAAGTTTATAGGCTAGGTTCTGCAGCTTACTGTTGTCTTATACAATTTCCGTGGCGCTGGTTCTTTACTTATACATACCTTGACTGTTTCAGTTTTACCAACTCCAGGATCTCCTTGGAGGACCACCCCATTCCTCTGCTGTAAAATCTATAGCAAATAACAAATAGAGAAGCACACGATTGAAAACACATGAATTTCACTAATGTGTTACACCCACCAGCAAGTTCTCCAAGAACTAGCTGCTCGTTGGCCTATTATCATTAGGTGACGTTTGTATCTTGACAGTAGCTAAATGCCAGTAATCTGAATTTGAAAAAGTTGAAATATTTCCTGCAGATAGTTGTGGGTTGTAAATTAATTTAGCTGCGTTTAGGTGTGTCAGCATTTTCAGGCATATTTTTCCCCAATACCCTATTCTTGGGGGGGATGTTATACTCTAGAATCCTACTCTTCCTCTTTGTAGGTATTTTTCTGAGCAAAGAGAACAGACTGTGCAATTGAAATCGAGTACAGAGCTGGTGCTTACCTTTGTGTTGCTGCTTGAGAGGAGAAGAAGATCGAGGGTGAGTGCACATGGAAATTGCATGGGAACAGGGCACCTGTTCCTGTGTGTTGTGTGGTTTGAAAGCCCATTCATTTAAATGGGCTGCAACTTGCCCTGGAACATGGAAAAAGCAGTGCATGCACAACGCACACACCAAGCCACAATGAGTTAAGTTTAGTACCCTGCATTTGTGATCTGCATTTGGGTCACCCAAATGCAGAACACAAGGACAGTGCAATCACCTTCAGTGATGTAAATGTACACAGAACATGCCTTTTCCACATTTTTGGTGTGATCCAGTTCCAAGGCCGAGAAAGGGGCAGAAAGAGAGGCAAACAAAGTGAAGATGGGTACATCCCCTAATATCCCAACATCTAAAAACTAGGGGATATTTTGTCCTGATGTATGAGGAAATTTAAACCTATCCTGATAAATTTTACAACTTTACCAGAATATCAGTGTCCAATGTTAACAGCTCACTAACTCTTTTCAGTTCATGTCTGCAAAGAATGAATACCAACATTAGGAAAAATATGAGCCAGACATTCAGGAAGAAAAGGGGAAGTACGTCATTTTCTGCTGCTAAACGCACTACAGCTATCTGCAGCTAAACACAATGCATGTTTATCCACTTGCCTACTGGGCAATTTTTACCCCCTTCCTCCCCAGACCAATTTTCAGCTTTCAGCGCTGTCACACTTTGAATGACAATTATGCGGTCATGCAACACTGTACCCAAACTAAATGTTTATCATTATTTTGAGACAGATAGCGCTTTCTTTTGGTGGTATTTGATCACCACTGGGGTTTTTATTTTTTGCTAAACAAACTAAAAATGACCAAAAATTTTGAAAAAACAAAAGTTTTTCTTAGTTCCTGTTATAAAATTTTGTAAATAAGTAATTTTTATCCTTCACTGATGGGCACTGATAAGCTGCATTGATGGTCACGGATGAGACTGCAATAATAAGTGGCACTGCTGGGCAGCACTGATGGGCACTGTTAGCCGGCACTGATGGGAACTCATAGGTGGCACTGATGGGCACTGTTAGGCGGTACTGATGGGCATTGTTAGGCAGCAATGATGGGCAATGATAAGTGGCACTGATGGGCACTATTAGGTGGCACTGATGGGCACTGTTAGGCGGCACGTATGGGCAGCACTGATGGGCACTGAATCAACTGATGATCACTGATTCAAATGATGTGCACTGACTGCCAGCACAGATGGGCACTGATGGGCACTATTGGCCGCACTGATG